AACTGGTCTTCCTTGTAGGTGTATGGATATTATTGTATCACAGACAGCATTGTACTTCAAGAGAGGTCTTGAAATGTTCTTTTTGAAAATGAAAGTGATGCCATTCCTCTTCAATTTGTCGTTCCTGGAATAGTAACCTATATGACTGTCTGATTCAAAATGGCCAATACTAGTTCGTTTCAGCTCATTAATATCTGGGATATCAACATTCATGTGTTTCATTTCATTTTTTTTGACAGTTTCCAACATTCCTAGATTCATACTTTATACATTCCACATTCTGTTATTAATGGGTATTTGCAACTATTTTTCATCATTATGAGGTGTGCCTCATCAGCAAATGAAGGTCCCCAAAACTTTACTTCATTCACATAAATATGGTGAACTCTGTTTTGAGGACCACCACACATCTGTCAGTTTGCCGTACTGTGGTAGCTTGTGAGTTATTGTGATTCTGGAAGCTATGACACTGGTATTTTAAATACCAGCAGGGTCATCCATGGTGGACAGGTTTCAGATGAGCTTCCAGATAAAGACAGACTAGGAAGAAGGAGTGACGAACTACTTCCGAATGTTTAGTCACTGAAAACCTTATGAAGAGCAGAGAAACACTATCAGATACAATGCTGGTTTCACATCACACCCTGCTTATCTCTCTGCAGTTACCACTGTACTAGGAACTTATCCAGCCATGTTTCACTTCCTTAACTTGGATAATACACAGTTGTGAAATAGTACTTCCTGTAGCACAAATTATGGTGTCGACTAAGATTATTAATATACCATAGACTGCCAGAAGAATGAACAAATCTGTCTTGGAAGCAGTACAGACAGAAAGCTCCTTAGAAGAGAGGATGGAAGGATTTTGTCTCTTGTCGTTTGGTCATATTATCAAGAGGGACCGGTCCTTGAGAAGGACATCATGTTTGTTAAAGTAGAGGGTCAACAAAAAAGAAGGAGACCCTTAATGCGATGGTCTGACACAGGGGTTGTTCACATTAACTTTACCCAAAGAATTTGGTGTTTGTCCTTGGTTCCTGAGATGTAACCTCTAAAGCTTTTGACTTTTTTCTTTGAGCACTAGACTTCATCTAATCTAGCAGGTTATGGGGGTGACTCAGGCAGGAATGACCAGCCCAGAAAAATTACTTAGTGATATCAATAGCTGTGTAATGTGTGTGTTATTCAATCAATCTATATATGCAATGAGCACTAGACTATATCTAATCTAATATATTACGCTAAGGAGGTGACTCAGGTGGGACTGAGCAGCCCAGAAATATTACTTAGTGATATCAGTTGACCTGTGGAATATGTGTGTCATTTGGTCAATTGTACATATGCAATGAGGCCCCCCAAAAGGCCATAGACACCAGGGACATAGTGACACTCTCAGGGGTGACACCACAATGACTCCAGGGTTTCACAACGGTGGCCATGGTGGTGGACAGGCCAGTGCCATAGGGAGCAGAGGTAACCAAGGAAGTGGCTTCACCAGTTAGTCTACAAATTCTGGTGCATCTAGGTGGAATGTAAAAAGAAGCAAGAAGCAGGCATATATATGGCCCCAGGGCACCTTCTAAAGCAAAGAGGTCTATTTAGGACTAAGGTGTGCCTGACAGAAGTCATGGTATTTTTGAGTGTCTCATATCCATGTGAGAGTTGGGCAATGAATAAGGAAGACCATAGAAGAATCAATGCATTTGATTATGTTATTGGCAAGGAATATTGGAAATACCATGGGCTGCCAGACCATGTACAGGGTTCCAAGGAGCAGCTGGTGAGTTGGAACTGCCGGCCTTAATGGCCCAAACCGATGTTGCAGTTTACTACATTAACCAGCAACACCACACCAGAAGTCCCAACAACAACAAAGCAACAAGTCAGACGAACAAGCAAATCTGTTTTGAAAGAAGTTCTGCCAGAATGCTTCTTAGAAGCAAGGATGATGAGCCTTTGTCTTGGGACATGTTCTCAGGAAGGATGAGTCGCTGGATAAATACGTCAGGTTTGGTAAAGTGGAGAGTCAGCAAAAAAGAAGACCCCCAACAAGATGTATTGACACACGAGGAGCGGCAGTGAGGAACAGCAGTAGGCTCAAACATAACAATTGTGAGGACAGCGCAGGACTGGGCAGTGTTTCATTCTGTTGTTCATCAAGTCGCTATGACTGGGAACCTACTCAATGGCACTTAACAAAAACAGGACACCTTCTCCCACTCAGTGCCCCTATGACTCTTACTTTCTCATCTCAGGCTTGGTTACCAGGCTTTCTCCTAACATATTACAGGATCTGGTGAACTTCAACAAGTTTATTGTCACTGCTGACTCCCATCTTCTTCCTTGGCCTATCCTGATATTCTCTGTGTCAGCTATAAGCAAATTATTTCCCTTAACTGGGTACTGGAACTAAAGGAAGTATATTCAATATGTCACTTGGAATGTTCTGTGTTGTCCAAAACTTCTTACCAACTCCATTTCTCCATTCTAAACCCCAGTATAAAAGGAGAGACGAGAAGAGAAGACAGATTCACAGAGGGGAGAACAGAAGTCCTGGGGGACCACTCCACTCCTGGATGAAAAATCACCATTATAGTATTTTTCTATTTGCAGTAAATTTCTTCCTGCCTTAAAAAAAATTTTTTTTTAAGCATGAAGAATGGAATTTTAAAAGGAGAAATACTTTATTGAGATCCTAAGAATCCTTAAAAGGAGCATAGTGGCTTTGAATTGGGCTGCAAACCTCAGGGTCAGCAGTTCGAAACTACCAGCTGTTCCGTGGGAGAAAGATGAGGCTTTCTGCTCCCATAAAGATTTACAGCCTCAGAAACCCTGTACAGGGTCGCTGTGAGTCAGAACCGACTCCATGGCACATAACCACAATAAAAACAACAATCCTTATACAGCCCACCACCACCAGTTGCTGTCAAGTTGATTCAACTCATGGTGACCTCATGTGTGTCCGAGTAGAACTGTGCTCCTTAAGGTTTCAGTGGTTGACTTGTTGATGTTGTTGAAATTTTTTTATTGTGAATTAAGTGAAGATTTACAGAGCATATGGTCAGTTTTAAATTCAACAAACCATACATTTTGCTTCATTGGAATGATTACAATCCCCTCCATGTAACAACACTTATCCCACTTCCTCCCTGTGGTTCTTATTCCCATTCCACCCTCCTTCCTCCTTCCCATCCCTGTTCAATCTTGTCCTTAGGGAAATGCTGCCCTTTTGATCTTGAGAGGTTGGCCATCCTATGGTGAGTACACCTTACTAGTGCTATCGTCCCACCTATATACCTATCACGAGTCCTGGTGTGGCGCTGTGGGTTAATGCGCTGGACTGCAAAGTTGGTTTGAACCTCAAGGTCAGCGGTTCAAGCTCACCAGTTGCTCCTTGGAAACCCTATACAGGGTCACTATGGGTTGGAACAGATTCCACAGCACTTAACAACAATAACAACACATACCTATTAACCACTTGGCTGAAAACTGGGCCATGAGGGTAAGTTCTGTTCTAGACTTGAAGAGTGGCTGAGGGCCATAGTCTTGGGTTCCTCCAGTCACTTTCTGATCACTAAGCCTGGTCTTTTTTATAATTTTGAGTTTTGTTACGCATTTTCTCTCACTTTATCCAGGAGCTTCTATTGTGATCCCTTTCAGAGTGGTGGTTAGTGGTCGCTGGGCACCATCTAGGTCTTCTGGTCTCAGAGTCATGGAGACTGATGTTCACAGTTTTCATTAGTCGTTTGGACTAGTTGATTCCAATAGTCTTCTATTTTTATCACTTTTCTTAACACAAGGAGAAACCAAACCCCTTAATACATAGAGAAACCTCATGAGCTTTTAAGATCCCAGTTGCTACTCACCAGAGTATGATGTAGGACATTGTCTTTTGGCCAACTGACCATGGTGTCCCCTTAGATTATGCTCCTGAGCTCTCGGGCCCAGCAACTCATTGTCTCAAAGCGTTTGGTAATGTCTAAAACATTTCCATCATTTTGCCACCTGTATGTGTCACTGTGGGTTAATGTGCTGGACTGCAAAGTTGGTTTGATCTACAAGGTCAACAGTTGAAGTTCACCAGCCGTTCCTCAGAAACCCTATGCAGGGTTGCTATGGGTTACAACCAACTCGAAGGCACTTAACGACAACAACATGTTCCACCACATGCACAGGTGGGTTTGCATCAATGATAAAATACCCATGCTCATTGGTTGATTTTCTTAGAAGATGATTGTCAGGTTTCTCTTTCAAGACTCCTCTGGGTGGATTTGAAACTCCAACCTTTTAGTTAGCAGTTGAGCATGTTAATTTATATGGCTCAAACTACCACTAATAATTAGCTATGTGCCTGTGGGCATATCCATTAGGCTTATTGAGACTCAGTTTATCTATGCATAAAATGGGTACAAGTAGGCTTTCCACCCCTTGGGCGGCAATGGTGATTCTTGGAGTATACATGAGGGTGGTCACGCAGTCATACAGGCCCTTTCCAGTAGCTCCATGTTTTCCTGCACACTGAAACCCAGCATGATCAAGAACACCGTCACATAGCATGAGGTTGGAGTCATTTAGGAAATTCTATCTTGTTGATGACTTTTTGTTTTTTGAGTGGGGTGAGCAAGGTCATTGAGAGGAACAAAACGTCACTGGGGCTGGGGGTGATCTCTTGCTTCTCCCCAGACACTTATTTCTGGAAAACAACGCCGATGGCAATTATCTATGGCAATTAGTTTGAAATTGCTGAAATATCTCTCACAGCTGGAGATGGAGAATAGAAGCTGCTCAATGGTGCACCCTTGCTCAAACCTGCTATACCTAAGATATGCCTCTCCCACTCCCTCAGCCGCACCCTCACCACCACCACCAGCATCTCAGAACTGCTTCCTTTTCTTCCTCATTGAATATCTGCCAAGTTGCTTTAGTTTCTATTTCTTTGTGGACTCCTCTCACTGTGCAGAGGACTGCCTGGCTGGTGGGAAAACCAGAGACATAGATCAATGGCTTTAAACTATACCCAGGATCCTTACATGAACCCGGTGAGTCCTGGGACTGTGGGCATGGAGTGGTGCTGGCTGGCCGGGGGCAGCCATAGCCCAGGGAAGAAGTTCTGGGTCTCCAAGGAAGCAACAGGTGGTGGTGGTAGTGGCAGGCATCCCAAAGAACACAAAAAAGGAAAATAATGTAAGCCAGATGGTGAAATTCTGACAAATTCTGTTCCCTGCAGTCTTGTCACAGTGCTCTTCAGGGACAAAGGAATGATTGTCACCACAGTCCGTGCATTGTGTGAAGATAGCCATATGTAGGAACTAGAAGGGTAATGAATTTTTATGACAGGGGAAGTAAATAGGGCTTCTGGGATCAACAACAACCTAGCAGAGAGGTTAAGAGCATTTACTTAGGAGGAGGCCTTCCTGGGTTCAAGTCCTGGTTCAGTCATCTACTAACTGAGTGACCTCAGGCAAATTACTCTCACCATTTGTAAAATGGGAATGACACTTGAACTCACCGCTTGGGACTGGAATAAGGATGAAGTGAAGCAGCCCATCTGGAGTGCTTGGGAAGAGCCTCGTGTGGCATAAGTGCACTGTAGCTGAGTTGGAGTCTGGGGACAGCAGGAAAGGTCTCCTGAGGAGTCCTGCGTCTAAGGAGTGCATCAGAGTTAAGGCAAACGAGTCAGTCAGGGTGTTTGCAGAGGAGGTAGTTAGGAATGAGACAAGTGCGGACTGTCCTCGCAGAGTGGGAACTGTCCCTGTATCATTTTGCCAATTGTATCTAGGTCTTCAAGTTGTTGTTGTTGTTAAGTGCCATTGAGTCTGTTCCAACTCATAGCGAGTATAGGGTTTCCGAGGAGCTGCTAGTGGGTTTGAACAGCTGACCTTGTGGTTCAAAGTACACTCTACTGATACTATAGTGCCACACCAGGAGTCCTTGTTCAAGTTCTTGTTTAAATCCTCGGAGGGTCATTGTTGTTGTTGTTGCTGTTGTTAAGTGCCATAGAGTTAGTTTCGACTCAGAGTGACCTTGTATAACAGGGGAACCTTTTTTTCTGCCAAAATTGATAACATCATTTGTGCTCCATAAAAAATTATCAACTTAAAAACTAGCTTGTTATATTTGGCTAAAATTAATTGACTCACCCTGGTGTAGCGCTGTAAGATAAGCACTTGACTGCAATGTCAGTTTGAGCTGTAAGGAAACCTTGAACTACATTTGAGCTATAGGAAATGCTATACAGTTAAGACTCCATGGCACTTAACAATAATAATTTGGTGACTGGAACTACAGTTCTCTTGGCAGAGCCAGACCAAATGATTTCACAGCCCACAGGCTAGGTGTTCCTACCCTTTGCTGTGTAGGGTTTCAGAGAAGCGGCTGGTGAGTTTGAACCACTGACCTTGTGGTCCAGTGCGTATCCTACAGCATTATAATCCCCATTTTATACATGGAAAAACAGACTCAGAAAAGTTGAGGTCACTTGCCAAATGTCCAAAGATGGATGGTAAGTGACAGAGAAGAAAAGTGTCTTGATTTATCTCCAGAGAAGAATATTGCAGGGAAGTGATACATGGATTAAGGCATAGTTTGAAGAGGGGAAATAATACTAAGATGCTTGACTGTTTGATGTCTATTGGTATAAGCAGAAATTGTCTACTATTGTAAAATGGAAACTTGAGTTGGATAGAAAGGAATGTCAGGAAACATGAGTACAGAAAACTTATAAGCCCATCTTCAGCCTATAACTGATTGGAATACCTAAAAGGGGTTCTAGAACTTGCCAAGTAAAATAGGCCTCTTGCAGAGCCTTTGCAGTATATAGGACCTTAGATGGAATCCTGAGCCCCATCCAGAACCTTCTGAGGTGGGACATTCCCACTTGAAAGGACAAGCAGACCAGCCTGGAACAGCTAGAGCGACAGAAGATGCATCTTCAAAGAAAGATCATCAGGAAAAACCCAAAACAAAAATAGCAGTATGACTGGCTACTACAAGAATAAGCAAGTTGTTCGCCGGGAAACCATCAAGGCAAGCAATCAAGTTCTTTCAGGACAAACCTCCTTCTAAGACTGAAACTCAAAGGGAACACATGAACTCTTATGTAAGATTGCTGATGACCATGCTGGTCAGCTGGTGAGTGAAAGAGGGGGAAAGGCAGCAATGAAGAAATGGGCTGAGATCAACCACATTCCACAGATTCCCGTTGACTTGGAGATGACAGAAGAGGAAGGGCTGGTTGGTCCAAAGTGTGGTGAGACCTGGGGACACCTGAGTCCAGGGACAAGGACATAGCCACAAAGGGCTAGAGCTGAGAGTGAAGCATCCAGTTGATATGAAGTGAGGGGAGATGCACAAGAACACCCAAACTTGCAGATAGTACCCATTTGACCTAGCCTCGATGGCTTGATGATCAGAACTAGACTAAAGGAAGATTCAAAAAAGAAGAAGAACAAAACAACTTTTGACAAAGGAAAAGAGGGTAAATTACTACAATTTGATGAACTTGACCTATACTCATGGAAGTAGTAACTCTAAATACCAACAGAGAGGGAAGGAGTCTTCACATCAAGTATCAGCACTATCCCCTCTGTGCACAGGGTAGATAGGGATGGGCAACTTAGACATTGGCTACCTAAAATGAGGGGTGATAAAGGCACAAAGTGACTGGCTTACAAGGTTTCAAAGGGGAGTTTAGTTTAAGAGTGTGCAGGGAAAGAGAGTCCCCACTGAATAGTTTTCATCTTGTCTAGATGGGTCTGGTTAAAAGATGAGGATAAGATTCTTAAGATTCAATAGTGAGTAATTGCTATCATGACTAATTGCGACTGTCACAATTATAAAGGTAGAAGTTTTGTAACAAAAACGGGGGAGTAGTTAATCTTACAGTCCAGAAACAGAGGACCCTGGGACCATCAGGGGAGAAGAGCACAGGCGGTAATGCGGGAACTTATCCAGAGAAGCAGCAACACCAGAGATGGAAACAGAGATGGGGACATGGAGAGAGGGAGTGGCTGAGGACTCTAGATTTATGGGAAGAGAGGACTAAGAGCCAGGAGGCAGACTTGCAGAATGTGCCCTTTGGTGGTGTAAATTATTATATATACTTGAGTGTTTAAATAACAAAAAGAGATAAAGTGAATAGAGAGAAATACTGGTAACTGATGGTACATGGAGGGGATTAGAATTATTGTAATGAAACAAGGTGTATGATTTGTTGAATGTAAAACTGATGATCTGCTCTGTAAACTTTCACTCAATCCACAATAAAAAAATTTTTTTGATTAATTATATAATCCACAGTTTCAAAGTAAAGCGGCTCACACTCCCATCCCAAACCCTTCACTGGGATCGAGTCTCTATCTTGAGTCTTGAAGAGTTTTGAATATGCTTCCATAATTCTTCTTTTGCTTGGATAGCAGAGATTCTCCTAGGGTCATAGCTCATCCAGGGCCACGGTTTTTAAATCTTTGAGGGAGCAGAATGCTTCATCTTTCTTTTGAAGAGTGACTACCAGGCTGGCTCTTATATCTTTGTTGTAGAGGATCCGTGCAGTGTGTCTGCCAGTCCACCATCTTGCAGGAAGTCCTCTCTTCATTCTTCTGTGCTCCTGACAGGGAAAAACCAACAGTTAATCTTAGATGACTGCTTACAAGCTTTTAAGACCTAAGTTTGGCTGAAAGGTGTGGTTGCTATTCATTAAAGTAGAACATTGTCTTTGTGGACTATGTTATGCCAATTGACCTGGATAGCCCCTGAGACAATGATGGTTATAATCCTCCAAGCCACTCAGGTGCTTGGCTATGGCTATAGAGATTTCATTTATTTGCCCTGTATATACGATACTATTTTCATGGATATACATATGTGGTACACATATGACTATGTTGAAACATCCTCTGCCCAACCTGTATACTTTTGGGTATACTCCCATACACCATCCCACACCTGTTCATCTTACAAATCTACTTAGGTGTCCACTCATAAATTGTTGTTTCTTATCATGGTTATTGCAGATTTATGTATGTAATAGTATCTATCATTGTTGCCTTTTACCCTTGTGTACCTCCCAGTGTCTTCCTTTGCCATAGTCATACTGTACTAACCTCCTTCTTATTGGATATTGCCTTTCCCTTCACCCCAGTTAATATGCTAGTTAGTGATTTTATCTTTCTTACCCTCCTATCCCTGGGAACCATCCAAGAATGTTTCTTTCTATATGTAAACCTTGCTTGACATTTTATGATAGTGCTCTCATACAGTATTTGTCTTTTTTTGATTAACTAATTGAGCTCAGCATAATGTCCACCACTGGTCTATCAGTTTTTCATACTATGGTGATGTGTGTTTTGCTGTGATGCTGGAAGCTATGCCATATGTGTTTTAAATGCCAACAGAGTCACCCATGGTGGACAAGTTTCAGCTGAGCTTCTAGACTAGGACAGATTAGGAATAAGGAGAGGCTGACTACTTCTGAATGCTTAGCCACTGAAAACATCATGAATAGCAGTGGAACACTGTCAGATATAGTGCCAGGAGATGAGCCCCTCAGATTGAAAGGCGCTCAAAATATGACTGCCGAAGGCTGCCTCCTCAAAGTAGAGTTCACCATACTGATGTGAATGAAGTCAAGTTTGGGGGACCTTCATTTGCTGATAGGGAACAACTCAAAATGAGGAGAAACAGTTGTAAACATTCATTAATAATCAGAACATGGAATGTATGAAGTTTAAATCTAGGAAAATTAGAAGTTGTCAAAAAAGAAATGGAAGGCATAAACATCGATATCCTAGGCATTAGTGAGCTGACATGGACTGGTGTTAGCCATTTTGAATCAGGCAATCCTACAGCTTACTATGCAGGAAATAAAAAATTAAAGAGAAATGGTGTCAAAAAGAGAGAGAGAGAAATGGTGCCACATTCATTGTCAAAAAGAACATTTCAAGATCTGTTTTGAAGTACAATGCTGTCTGTGATAGAATAATATCCATTTACCAACAAGGAATAGCAGTTAATACCACGAAAGCTGTTGTTGTTGTTGTTAAGTGCTGTCAAGTTGGTTCCAACTCATAGCAACCCTGTATAGGGTTTCTGAGGAGCAGCTGGTGGGTTGAACTGCCGACCTTGTGGTTCCCAGTGCTGATCCTAAAGCACCATACTAGGAGTCCACTAAAGTTAATGATGATGAAATTGAAGAATTCTACTAACTTCTTCAGTCTGAAAGTGATCAAACATATAATCAAGATGCACTGATATTGGATCTTGCATGATTATTGGAACATAGAGTTTGGAAATAAAGAGGAAGGACCAGTAGTTGGAAAATATGATGTTGGTGGTATAAATGATGTTGGAGATCGCATGATAGAATTTTGCAAGACCAGTGACGTATTCATTGCAAATACTTTTATAAACAACATAAAAGGTAACTATAAACATGGACCTTACCAGATGAAATACTCTGAAATCAACTTAATGGAGTCCTGGTGTGGCACTGTAGGATAATCACTGAACCACAAGGTCGGCAGTTCAAACTCACCAGTCGCTTCTCAGAAACCCTGTACAGGGTCACTACGAGTCAGAACTAACTTTACAGCATTTAACAACAACAACATGGCAAGTGACATTGGAAAAACTCAAAATCATGAGCCAAAACAAGGCCAGGGGCAGACTGTGGGACAGACCATTAATTGCTCATATGAAAGTTCAAGCTGAAGCTGAAGAAAATTAAAACAAGTCCACGAGAGCCAAAATATGACTTTGAATGTATTCCATCTGAATCTAGAGCCCATCTCAAGAACAGATTTGATGCATTAGGCATTAATGACTGAAGATCAGAAGAGTTGTAGGATGACATCAAGTACATCATACAGGAAGAAAGTAAAAGGTCATTAAAAAGAAAGAAAAGGTCAAAATAGATATCAAAAGAGACTCAGAAACTGACTGTTGACCATAGAGAAGATAAAGCGACTGGCAGAAATGATGAAGTAAAAGAGCTGAACAGAAAATTTCAAAGATCAGCTCAGTGTTACCAGGACTGATTGTGAGGGTTGGAAATCTAAAGGTGGACATTTTGTAGCAAGGAGGGGAGTGATTAACTTTTCAGTCTAGGAGTAGAGGACCCTAGGACCATCAATGGAGAAAAGCGGAGAGTGGGATCCTACCCAGTGAAGCAGTGAGACCAGAGATGGAAGCAGAGAAGATGACGTCAAGAGATGGTGTGGCTGAGGACTTGGGATCTGGAGATGGAAAGGGGCTGAGGACTGTGGTGGGGGGGTGCAGGCATACAGGGTACATACACCTTTTGGTTGGGTGAGGATGCATGGACGGGATGGTAACTATGCCAATGAAATGATAGATGATAGAATGAATGTAAAATGAATGTTCTCCCATGTAGACTATCCACACAATTCACACTAAAACATATATTAAAAATAAATAAATAAATAAAATAAAATGAATATAGAGAAATACTGTTAACTGATGGTACATGGAGGGGATTATAATCATTTTAATGAAACAAAGTATATATTTTGTTGAATGTAAAACTGATGATCTGCAATGTAAATTTTCATTCAATTCACAATAAAAACTTAAAAAAAAAAAAAAGATCAGCTCAAGAAGGCGAAGTCCAGCATTATAATGAAATGTGTAAAGACCTGGAGTTAGAAAACAAAAAGGGAAGAACATACTCAGCATTTCTCAAGCTGGAAGAACTGAAGAAAAATATTCAAGCCTCAACTTGCAATATTGAAGGACAAACTATTGAATGATGCAGGAAGCATCAAAAGAAGATGGAAGGAATACACAGAGTCACTGTACCAAAAAGAAATGGCTGATGTTCAACCATGTCAACAGGTAGGGTATGATCAAGAATCGATGGTACTAAAGGTTGAAGTCCAAGCTGTACTGAAAGCATTGGGGGAAAAGCAAAGTTCCAGGAATTGACTGGATACAAATTGAAATGTCTCAACAAATTGATTCATCACTGGAAGTGCTCACTCATTCATGCTAAGAAATTTGGAAGACAGCTACTGAGCCAACTGATTAGAAGAGATCCATATTTATGCCCATTCCAAAAAAAGTGACCTAGCAGAATGTGGAAATCATTGAACAATATCATTAATATCATATGCAAGTCAAATTTTTCTGAAGATAATTTAGAAGTTATTGCAAGAGTACATCAGCAGGGAACTTTCCGAAATCCAAGCTGGATTCAGCAGAGGACATGGACCAAGGGATATCACTGTTGAGGTCAGATGAATCCTGACTGAAAGCAGAGAATACTAGAAAGATGTTTACTTGTGCTGTATTGATTATGCAAAGGCAGTTGACTGTGTGGATGATGACAAACTGTGGACAAGATTGCAGAGAATTGGTATTACAGAACACTTAATTGTGCTCATGAGGAACATGTACATAGACAAAGAGGCAGTTGTTAGAACAGAACAAAGGGATAATGAATGGTTCAAAATCAGGAAAGGTGTTCACCAGGGTTGGACAATTTTCACTACATTTATTCAATCAGTATGTTGAGCAAATAATCTGGAAGCTGGATTATATGAAGGAGAACATGGCATCAGGATTGGAGGAAGACACATTAACAATTTGTGATATGCAGATGATACAACTTCGCTTGCTGAAAGTGAAGAGGACTTAAAATACTGGTGAAGATCAAAGACTATAGCCTCCAGTATGGATTGTACTTTAAGGCAAAAAAAAAAAAAAAATCCAACAAACAATATCATGATAATTGGAGAACTAGTTAAAGTTGTTGAAGACATCCTTTCGTTCGGATCCCTAATCAACAAGAGAATTTGATGAAGTGGTTACAAGTGGCTGGAAGGCCACACCAGGCCTGGAAGGCCACTGAGGGCCTGTGGGAAGGGAAGCCCAGGAGCAGAGGAGATGAGGAAGCAGCCCCGTGGGTAAAAAGGCCCTACCAGAGGTGGCTGGGTCATGGTCACCATGGCTTTATGGGGGTAGCCCCGATGACTTCTTGGCCTTCTGAGGTGAGTGGATGGTTACCCTCCAGAGTAGGTAGATGAGTCCCTTTGATCCTTTGGACCTCTTGAGTTCCTGAGTAGGGCCTGGGTCCAGCAGCCCTCATCAGCCCTCATCACTCCCCTGGTTCCTGCTCATCTCACACATTTTACTTCCTCTCCTTCAGAAGTCCTCCTTCTAGTGAACTCTATATGAACTGAGCTTGATGTGGCTTCCTCTCAGACATTCAAGGGAAGAAGTCAGACTTGTAAGACTTTGTATAGCCTCCTTCTGATCACAATTGCAGAAAGCTTGTGCAAGCAGCTCAGTTTGTGCTTATTTCCTCCTGTGACTGGGAGGTCTGTGAGGCTGAGAGACTGTCTAGTCCGCAGTCACACCCTCTGCCCCTAGCACAATGCCCAACACATACAGGCCAGCTATTAGCAAGTGCTGACAGAGAGCTAACTGACTGACTGGTCTTCCCTGTTTGCTCCCTGCAGGAGGTCCCGTTCTCCGGGTCAATCATAGGGGGTCTCCAGGATGGACTTCAGATCATCATCAATGGAACTGTTCTCATCTCCAATGAAACCAGGTACCTGGTTGTTTCTCTCCTATGCCATGGTGCCAACCACCCCAAGGGTCCCATTATCATAGATTCTGGGGTTAAAGGGCACTTGGGGCCTGCAAAGAACTCACAATCTTAGGTAGGAAGCAGCCCTCACAGGCAGATAACTATCTATGTTACAGGGTTGAACTTTGCATTTATGACCCAGAGTTACAAAACCATAGCTTCCTTTATTTTCTGTAACTGTTCCCGTCTCCTTTGGAGCCCTCATTCTGCTGCTGTGACAATATTTGAAGTTGCCACCAAAAGTTATTTGGGTCTTTCAGTATCAAAGTCTTTTTGGAAAAAAATTGAACCAATGCAAAATACGAATACCAGTTTGGCTCATGGTGAACCATGTGTGTCAGAGTAGAACTGTGCTCTATAGCGTTTTCAATAGCTGATTTTTCAGAAGTAGATCACCGACCTTTCTTCTGAATCACTTCTGGGTGAACTCGAACCTCCAACATTTTGGTTTACCGAGAGTACATTAACCCAGGGATTCCCAATGCAAAATACAAACATTAGCATTATTTCCCATCCCCCTCCTCCTTCACAAGATGGGGTGTGAGGCACCGAAAGAGCGCTCATGTCCTCTACGAGGCCAAAGGGGCCCCTGAGCCTCAAGAAAGCCTGTGGGCTCTCCTCGCTGTCTAAAACTGAGGTTTCCTGTCTGAGTGATGGGCTGGCTTCTCTGTGGGGGCTGTCTGCTGAAGAGCCTTGGACAGAAGCGTCTCTGTCTCAACTACAGACATCTTCTGCCCCACTGGTTCTCTTGGGCCATGAAATCTTCTGGATTCTCTTACATATCCAGGTTCCAGCCCTACCTCTGCTCAGCCATACAGATTTCGGTTCCACCCTTCCCTGACGAGGTAGGCACAGCCTGCTGACCATAGGACTTCTTCAAGAGCACTGAAATGACCCCTGGGGACCCCTAGGAAGTTTGGCACCAGGAGCCCCTAAACCTTTCCATCAATCCCTAGGTTGAACCATGAGGAGATAAGGGAATTGAAGACCATGTGAACTCCCACCCCTTTCTCTCTCTCTCTCTCTCTCTGCTTATCTCAACCCTGACACCAGAAGGACTTTTCTTCCCCATTAGGCCTAAAGAAACTGTACCTAACTCATATGTCTTCCCTTGGGAGCTTTTGCTCTCTCCCTTCCCAGGGGCTAAGGACTAAGGAGTTCTGGTAACATAGTGGTTATGATTCAGGCTGCTAACCTTAAGGTTGTTGTTGTTGTTAAGTGGTGTTGAGTCGGTTCTGACCCATAGCGACCCTGAATAGAGTTTCCAAGGCTGTAAATCTTTACGGGAGCAGAAAGCCTCATCTTTCTCCCACAGAGCAGCTGGTAGTTTCGAACTGCTGACCTTGTGGTTCACAGCCTGATTTGTAACCACTACGCTACCAGAGCTCCTTAAGGTTAGCAATTTGAAACTACAAGTGGTACCTTGGGATAAAGATGAGGCTTTCTGCTCCCATAAAGATTTACAGCCTCAGGAAACCCTATACAGGGTCGCTATGAGTAGGAACCGACTCCATAGCACAAAATCACCATAGGAAATTATTAGAATATATATCAACCCATCTGGGCTTGGTGCAGTGTTGAGCTCTGTGGGGTACAGAATACCAGAATGAGAAAGCAGCATCCCCGGAGAGCAGCGGGGCCTTGGTTAATCTGAGCCACACTCTCAGGTCTGAGTCCAGGGTGAGCAGAAGTAGACAGATCTGCCTCTGTGGAGAGAGAGCTTAGGCCCAAGCTTGGTCTTAGTGGATGAGTGGGACATGTCTGGGAACAGAAAGAAAAACATTTATTGAGCTAGTTTGTGTGCCAGGTTCCTTGGAGTTTCTTCTAATTCCTCACCGTAAAGCCATTGTTATACCCAAGGGCAGTTTTGATGCTGAAGGGCGAGATGAGAAGAAAACTGTATTTGTTTCCCACAACTGCCATAAAAAAATACCACAGACTGGGCAGCTTAGAAGAACAGAGATGAATTGTCTTACAGTCTGAAGACTGAAAGTCTGAATTCAGGGTGTCGGCCAGGCCACGTGAGCTTTCTCTCTCTCTCAAAGGTTCTATGGGAGGATCCTTTCTTATCTCTCTTGGCTTCTGGTAGCCCCAGGTGTTCCTTGATATGCAGGTGCATTTTCATATGACCACCTTCCCTCTGTCTGTCTGTCGGTGTCAATGTATCTTCTTCTCTTTTATAAGACACCATTCAGATGAGATTAGTGTTTGCCCTACTTCTGTGTGACCTCACGTTAACTGCTAATATCTTCAAACACCCTATTTCCAAATATCTGCTCAGGAGGCACAAGTCAACATTTGCTTGTGTTGGAGGCTTCCTGAACACTGCCTCATTTAATCATCCTTCAGGAAGAGGGATACCAGCTGGCCTCGAGAAGATGCTGACTCAGGCAACCATATTTGAGTCACAGTAGAACTTTGCTCCATGGAGTTCCCAATGGCTGATTCCTCTGGAAGTAGCTGGCCAGAGGTGAACTGTGCTCCATAAGGTTTTCAGTGGCTGATGTTTCAGAAGGAGATCCCTAGGCCTTTCTTCTGAGGAGCCTCTGGGTAGACTTACACTCCCAAGAAACAAATGGAAGAGAGTGGGGCCCCTCGCCTAGATGCAGAAACTTGAGGCAGTGGGGTTCAGTGGCCATCACAAATAGCCAATTGTGCAGAAATGGAGTCTTTGCTTCCACACCTGACATGTTCCTGACATAACACCGACATCCAGTGTGGAAAAGATACTCATATTAAAAGTCATCATGCCTAGAGAACTAATGTTTATTCTGTGCCTCACTTTTCAGACATTATCTTTGTAGGTATCGCTCCATCTGTTTTACATATTTTTAAATTTCATGTTTTTCTTTTCCAGTTGAGCATGGTTAAGAACTTCCATCTTTGATAGAGATTTGTAGTTAGTTTCTAGACTTATGCTTTAGGTGACAAGTGTCAATGTTTTCCTCGACCCATTTTCTAGTTACAGATAACGCTGTAAAGGCAAAACGCAATAACAACACAAAAGCACATCAAGTCTAAACTGCTGTTTTTGTGTGCATTTAAGTCAGTTCTGACTCATAGACCCTGTATAGGGTTTCTGAGGAGCAGCTGGGGGGTCTGAATCACTGACATGGTGGTTTGTAGTCTAATGCTTATCTTACAGTGTCACACCAGGACTCCAAGTCCAAATTAGGTGGACACAAGGTTGCCAACACATCTGTCTCTACCATACAGCGTGTGCTAGTTCCCAGACAAATGTAGATCAAAGGCGCCCAAGGTTCCCAGGTTCCCATCACTAACAGTAAACATGCTACATAAGACTGTTTGATTTCCCTCGAACTAGGTTTTCTGTGAACTTTCAACCCAGTCCCAGTGAAAATGACATTGCCTTCCACTTCAACCCTCGGTTTGAAGAAGGCGGATATGTGGTCTGCAATACGAGGCAGAATAGATCCTGGGGGCCGGAGGAGAGGAAGATGCTCATGCCTTTTCAGAAGGGGATGCCCTTTCAGATCTGCTTCCTGGTGCAAAGCGCCAATTTCCAGGTGAGCAGGAACCCTCCTACTCTCCCCCACCCCCCCCCAGGCTCCCAGCCCCATCAGACAGTGTGAATGACCTTTAAGTATTCATATTCTTGAGATCAGGTGGTAGCAACATCCTTCTACAAAAACACCGCTGTTGCTTTGAAGGTCCCTACGAATGGCCGCACAGTCTCCTGGCTCATCTTCACCTGCATCAACAAATGTACCTGGTGCTTCTTTTATCCAGAAACTCAGAACTAGATAGGTCACCATGTTGCTTTTTGGTCTTGTGTGTCTTTTTAAAAAAGAGCAACAACAAAAACCAGTGGCTGTTGAATGGAGTCTGACTCTTGGAAACCTCACATGTTACAAGAGTAGACCTGCGCTCCCTAGGGTTTTTAATGGCTGATGTTTCAGAAGCAGATCTCCAGGTCTTTCTTCCGAGGCTCTTCTGAGTGGACTTGAACTTTACTCTTTTGGTTAGCAGCCGAGTGTGTTAACCATTTGTACCAAGTTCATTCAATTCCTCTGTTGTAGCTGCTCTTCTACTCCAGGTCTCTGATAACAGCTAGCTGTCTGCAACAGTGTGTCAGGCTATAAACTGTTGCAAATTACTTTTGTGAGTAGCGTCTCTCAAGCTGGGGAATTGGGTGGGGGAGAGTACATCTGTGTCTATGCTTGTTTGTGTGAACATGGGTGCGCCCACCCACTCAGTATAAGACCTGTGTTTGCTTTTCCCCTGCTCCCCATGGAACATACCTATTGGAGGTGCACAGGTAAATGATACTCCAGGTGAGCTGGGATTAGGAAGAACGGACACAATGAACCAACAAACACACCATAAGAATAACCTTAAGCCAAGTAGAGGTTTGACTTGGATACACTTTGGATCCCATGCACATTCCTGCAATGGGCACAGGATGGATGTGAAAGCCTACCTGGGGCTTACTTTCAGGAACAGGGTCCCAGGAGGCTCAGGTGTGCTTCCCCACCTGGACTGGAATTCTTCACCTAAACATGCACTTTCCCTTGACAGGTGATGGTGAACGGGAGCTATTTTGTGCAGTACGCACACCGCATGCCCTTCCACTGTGTGAACACCATCTCCATTGCTGGTGCTGTACAGCTTTCCTGCATCAGGTTCCAGGTCAGACTGTCCACCTGGCACCTGTCCTGGGGGCTGGGGAGCAGGGCTCAGGCTAGCGGTGCCTAGGCCCTGTCGGGTGGGTCTAAAGTGACCAGTTTAGTCTCCTTCTGGGTGACTCTGGGGACACACTTCTGGCTCCCCTGTGCTGCTATCTGCCCTCGCGTTTCTCCTCTGTCATCATGCCCTGTCGTGTCACCGTCTCTGTCTAGAGCACCTTAGTCTCAGATTCCTCAGCTGTTTGTGTCTCTGCTGCTCCATCTCTGTCTGGCAAGGAGGCAGTGGGAATCAGACTCGCAGCTTGGCCAGGCTCATTGACTGTGGGTCTTGGATGAGTAACTGAGCCTCTCCCAGCCTCAGTTTCCTCACCTGTAGAATGAGCACAATCAGAGCTATCCCACAGAATGCTGTGCGGCGAGATGCCAGCCATCAAAACACAGGCCGTACAAGGGACTGTTTGACCCACTCATGTTTTAAACATTTTGAATGTGTTACCAACATCTAAAAGGTCAGGAGATACCATAGGGAAATCAAGATCTCTGGCTTTTTGTAAAAACTGGGAATGTTGGGGTATGCTGGGTCCTCATCTTTGAGGCTGTTACTGCCACTATTGGCATTTGAGTGGGTTACGCTGGGACAGTAAAGCACACAGTAGGCCCACAGCACCTCGGGGTTCCTCTCCCTTCATACTCCTTCCCTCCCCACTGTCTCCCTGGTGGAGTAGGAGAGGAACAGACAACCAGACTACTGTACCCACTGGGACCTGCTCCTCCCTCTCGCCCTCTGCACCCTGCTTCCCACTCCCCTGGCTGCCTGGCTCATTCCCTCTTGCCAGGGTCCTGTCTTTTCATGCTTTCTTGACTCCATTAATGTTTGTCTTTCCCTGTGGTGTGTTTTGTTTGAACAGAACAGCCGTGTAAACCTCGTCCAGCCTGTCTTCTCCACACATCAGTTCTCAAAGCCTGCTTGTTCCCCTAACAAGCCCAAGGGGCGCAGACCAAAAGTGAGTGAGGCCCAGAACCCCAGGAGGCTGAGAGGTGGCGGGGAAGGACCGAGGGTCTGAGGGTCAAGTTCCAACTGTAGGCTACCGGGACCTACGGACCCCATCATGCCCACCCTGCGCTCCTCTCCACTCATCAAGCACCCAGGGGACCTGGAAGTTGTCCTTGGCTCCTCCTCTTCCTCCTTAATGTCTCCCAATGCACCCACTTCTCTCCCTCCGTGAAGCCACAGCCTTGACTCAGGACACTGTGATCCCTGGTCAAGATGACCATGGTCAACTTTCCCAGTTCTACCTCTTGTACATCCATGGTCTCAGTGACCTTCCTGTAAACAAATCTTATCAAATCCCCTCTCCACTTGGAAATCTTCATGTTCCCAAGTCTTCCCTCCAAAACCCCAGTTCACCAGCAAAACATTCAGAATTCTTCCCAGTCTTGCTCCAACTACTTCCCAGCCCCATCCTTCACCCATGGAGCTCACCCATTCTCCATTGTTCACAAACCTCCTTGGGCATCACATTTTTGCACACACTGTTCCCCAAAGCACTTTTTGTCCACCTCACTCCCTGCCCTTATGTGTTTCCATGAACTTTGTGCAAATCTGTGCTGGTCACCACACTGCATTGTCATTATGTTTACATGTCTGCCTCCATCACCCCACTCTTCCCTGTCCTATCTCCATGGGGCCCTTGAGGCTAGGGAGTTGACTTGCTCATTTTTGCATCCCCAGCACTTTGCATTAGGGACTCAATGGATGAATGAGGACTGTGGTTTCTACAGGCAGGGAAGGTAGAATGAGAGACCAGCCAAGACAAGAACAGTCGGCTGGCTTGGGACACGATCCAGGATAGAAAGGGGAGCCGGTTCCACCCTTCCTTTGGTCACACAAGCAGTGGGTACAAGGGGAAGACATTCTATGTACCCAGTCTTCCTATGCCCCATCATGGGCCCCAACCTTTGAGGGGCAGCCTAACTTTGACTCTTCTTGGTGAGGATGGATACAGGTTTGGGTACCATGTTGGATTTTGCTACTTGCAGCCTGGGTGAGCATGAACAACCAGCAAAGCAGATACTAATGATGCCTCCCTCATTGTACATCATAGAAGTTCAGAACTTGGCATACAGTAGGTTTTCAGTAAATCAGTTCCCATCTCATGGGTGATATTTGGCATGGTTTTACCTTTGGAGCCAATGGAAGCAATATGGTCTATATCAGACCTGCCCATACATGTTTCTGGGATGGTGGGTACGAATCTGGTTACCAAAGGCTCATGAAGGGGTGTTTGAGTGTAGGAAGAGTGGCTGTGAGTCTGGGAAGGCATTTTTTTTACCACAAGAACCCACCCAGGAATCTAGCCATCACCTCTCACCTTCACACGGTAACAACATATAGACAAGGTTTTGATTTTCTCAGTTGTCTTTCAGCCTCCAGGTATTTGGCCTGCTGACTTGATACCTATTGTAAGTCTCTTGCTCTGTCTTCAGATTTTTTGTTTGTTTGTTTGTTTGTTTCCCTCTCTCTCAATCAAGGGTTAAAAGGAGAAAGCAGGGCTAGGCACTGAATTTCCTCCATGGGTTGATACAGATGTCAAGGCCAGATCCCTTGGCCATCTATCTGCTTGGTAGTACTGGAGGGTTGGGAGTGTGGGAAGGTGTGGTTTGCTGGCCCTGATGAATGGAGAAGCAACCAAACCCCTTCCCTTCTGCCGGCAGAAACAGAAGACCAAGGTCCCAAATTCAGTTCTTTCTGAAAGTGAGGTTACCCTGAGAAAAATTTCCCTGAGAAGAAAGATGGTCCAGAGATCACTAATGTAGCTAATTTATTCTCCAAGGACTCTAATCTTGTGCCCATGCCCCACCCCCTTAAGAGAAGAAGCACCTCTACCAGCCCATTTGGGGCGTCTGGTAAAAACAATGACTTGGCAACACACACAAGGTTATCTCACCTCAGACACGCCCTCTGGTGGTAAGAGCTTGTTGTGTGCCGTTGAGTCCGTTCTGACTTCTAGGGACCCTACACATAACAGAATGAAACACTGCTCCGTCCTGCGCCAGCCTCACAATTGTTACATTTGGCCCTGTTGCTGTTGCAACACTATTAATCCATCTCGTTGAGGGTCTTCCTCTTTCAGATGTCAATTTCTTTCTTCCAGACTCAAATGATGCCCAATGCTTATGGACAAGTGTTGCATGTAAGTCTGAACATTCTGGTCAGTTCACAGTTTCGTTTCTTCCCTCTCCATTAAGAACTGAGTTCCCTAAAGACCTAGAATGGCAAGAAAATGGTTAAGCAAGGAAGATGGGAAAATTGGGGGCTGGACCTGCAGTTTTGGATGTGTACAACTAAGACTCTTCTTGGGAGAGCAAAAGTCCTGGACCAGGTTGGACTTACTCTGTGGTTAAAGGGGCAGGTCCTCTAGGGAAACCTGACATGAGAGCCTGTGCTGTGTATCCTGAATAAAGCCTCGGGCTGCTATTGTGCCTACAGGCCGAGCCTCTTCTTATTCTCCTCTGGGCTGTGTAAGCAAGTGGGGAAAGATTGAGGGGCAGGCGACCTTGATGGGGTCCAGGAGCCTTGCCTGAAATTCTGTGAAGGCCAACCTGAGAAGACAGGTGAATGGGAGGCTGAGGGGTGGAGCCTCCTGGCCTCACATCTGAGACAGCATCCTCTTAGACAGTACAGGTAGAGTTCATCGAACTTCCTGATCTCTTTTCAACAGAATCCTGTAATTCCACCTACTGTGTATCCAAGCCCAGCCTATGTAAGTGGTTCTTTGGGGAGGGGAGGGGGGCTTTGCTTGTGTTGGGCAGAGTAGGATGAGAAGAGCAGCATGGGGGTGAGTCTTTGGTCTTGCCAAATTCAAAATTGAGTTCCTAAAACAGCCAAGTACATTAGAAGAAGGTTGATGAGACCTTTAAAGTTTTAAATGATCTTTTCAAAATGAGCAAATCAGGTGACCCTTCAAAGTTCCTCATGTGATGGTGTTACTAACAGATACTGTGACAGCCCACATCATAGAATCTGTCCCAAATCCCCTCCTGCAGTGGTTCTGGCTGCTGCTGACTGGCCTGTCCCCCTCCTCCCACAGTCTCTGCCTTACTTCACCAACATCCCGGGTGGGCTGTTCCCATCCAAGAGCATCATAGTGTCAGGCACTGTCCTGCCCAACGCCCAGAGGTAAGCTGGGACTCCAGGACACCCCTGGACCATGGTGGGGCTGAGGAGGAGGGGCAAGACTGTGCCCAGAGTACAGGCAAAGGAGGTCAATGTGAGCTGCCCAACCGCAGGTTCCATGTCAACCTGCGCTCTGGAAACAACATCGCCTTCCATCTGAACCCCCGCTTCAATGAGAACACTGTGGTCCGCAACACCCAGATCAACAACTCTTGGGGATCTGAGGAACGCAGCCTGCCTGGGAAAATGCCCTTCATACGTGACCAGAGCTTCTTGGTAAGGGGCTGTGGCCTCGGGCAGCTGAAGGGAGGAATGAGGTAGAGTGGGTCTGGGAATACTTTGAACAACACGGGAACTTAAGTTTCTGGGGTGAGGGCTGGACTTGGAAGAAGACAAATTATTGTTGCTATTAATGTTATTATTATTTTTAATGATTATTGTCCCATATGAGGTAGGCATTGGTATCTGATTTTTTCAGATGAAGATATAAACTCACAAGTGCAGGGTGTTTGCCTGAAATGAAATGGCACAGATGTTGTTGTTATGTGCCGTCGAGTTGGTTCTGACCCATAGTGACCATGTACAGGGTTTCCAAGGCTGTAAATCTTTACGGGAGCAGAAAGCCTCCTCTTTCTCCTGCAGAGCTGCTGGTAGTTTTGAACTGCTGACCTTAAGGTTCGCAGCTCGATTCGTAACCACTACGCTACCAGAGCTCCTTGAAATGACACAGATAACAAGTGCCAATTTGAACCTGAACGTGAAGCATTATTCATTCACTCACCCACTCATCTGTTTATTCAAAAAATTCATTTCTCAACGATTATATGGAGGGCCACTCATTGCAGGAAGCACCCTAGGAAGAAGAGAGACCAGGTCCGCTCCCAATGATGGTATAATCTCCTGGTAGTGCAAGAGGAACAAGGAAATAGAAGCAGGAACTAGATAACCACAGATAAAGACAGGTCAAAACAATGGGATGCAGTGAGGCCCAGGGGCGAGGGGCAGGGCAGGGCCACTCCACCTTAGAGGGAAGAAGGGTCAGCAGGGAGAGCATTCCAGGTGGGCAGAGAGAGCAAGCAGTGAAAATGTGGGGAGACATTTGCATGGCCTGTCAATAAATGGCCAGGCCAGGGCCAGGGTAGACAAGGGCAGAGGTGTGAGGTGAGAAGGCCAGAGACCATAGCCTTCTCAACCCTGAAGACGCATTAAGATTACCTGGGAGTTAAAAACAATATCAATGTCTAGGTCCCATCCTAGACCAATGAAGAGCTGAGCCTAGGCATCTGTGTTCATAAAATATGTCCCAATCCTCTGCAACCCAAGATGGAAATGACTGGTATAGGTCCTTGAAGGCATGGAACGGAGTTCTGATTTTAATACGAAGGAACATTATACTTGGATTTATAGATAGCTGTATGACCTTGGGCAAGTGACTTAACTTCTCTGTGCCTCACTTTTCTTATCTGCAAAATGGGGCTAATAATCATACTGATCTCATAGAGTTGTAAGAACTAAATGAGAAGATATTCGTAATATGTTTAGGACCAGGCACGAATTACCCCATAAGCAAGGTAAGCACTAAGGCATCAGTTATCCAAAGCAAAGATCCATATGTTCCAAGCCGATGGGACACAGAAAAAGTGAGTGCTACAGTGGAAGGGAAGTGGCAGGACACTGAATGACCAATGCCAGCTTCAGAGTGTGAGGATGTGTTGGCCAGAAACAGAGACCATGCAGGCATCCGTACGCAGGTTGTTGAAGCTCTGAGGCCCTTACCATTTCAACAACTTTGTGCCCCGTGTAATTGAAACTCCTTATCTAGGTGGGTCTCTTGAGGTACTATTTCTTTCTAAGAAACAGGAGATGGGCAGTGGGTGGTAGAGTCTAAATCTTGCTACATTCACCCAGTATGCAACTGGATCCAAATATGAGCAGTTACCGGGCAAGGACAGATTATGTGAACAGATAGCAGGTGTCTGTTTATTTTAAGAGAACCATCTTGTACACCCATATCAGCTGCATCAGCATCAAGCTGCCATAGCTTTGGACTGTGTCTGTGAACACTAATGTTGTCGTTGTTAAGTGCCGTAGAGTCGGATCTGACTCCTCGCGACCCTGTACAGGGCTTCCAAGGAGTGATTGGTGGCTTTGAACCCTTGACTTTGTGGTTAGCACTCTAGTGCTTGGGATCATCAACTTCCATCAGAAGAGCCAACAATGCTCTTTGCCATAATACAAATGCAAGGGTATACAGACAACAGAATACTTTGGAATGTAACCAATATGTCATTTTCATATTATGTGCTGCATATTCACTTAAATCTTATAGGACCCAGCAAAGTAGATTGTTGTCTGGAAGCAGTTGACTTTTTTTTTCAACAGTTCTGTTGATCTACACATTTTTGCCACCTTTCTAATACATCTTGGGAACGCAGTAGCAAGAAGTACAATCCTGGAATCACACACTTAGATCCTAGACATCTTAGACAATATTCCTGAAGCTAGGCAGCAAAAAGGAGATAACAAGAAAGAAGCTGAAATCATAACCAACAAAATGCAAACACTAGCTTTTTTTCTGTAGCTTTTGTGGACTAATGTATTGCAGCATAACACAGCCAACATCTAAATTGCCCATCTTCCATTACCTTTTAATTACAATTTTGAAGCTCCCTTATATACTCACATAACACATTTCTCATTGGAATTTGTGAGTAAGTAGTGGAGGGGCACCAAACGGTCCATGTTTCAGGCCTCCCCACACCTTAATCTGGCCCTGTTTAGGATACATTACAAGTGGTAGGTAAGTATGTGGCCTAGGGAGTGCAGTGGCTCGATATGATAAACTGTGGACTGCGAACCACAAGGTTGATGGTTTGAGCCTACCAGCTGCTCCTCAAGAAAAAGATGAGGCTTTCTGCTCCTGCAAAGATGTACAGCCTCAGAAACCCTATACAGGGTCACTGTGAGTCTGAACCGACTCAAAGGCATTCAGCACCAATTAGAAATATATGGCTGGGATGATGATGTTTTCACAGATTTGTTTTGCCCTCCTCATGGAGAAGACAAGTTTGGAGTCCAGGGGCAGGGTGTTCCTGTGTGCTGGGCACTGGGGATATAAGCCAGGCCTCCTACCCCCAGTGGCTCAGGGAGAGAGGAATAACCAAGTTCCACCCAGAGTGATAGTGTGGGGGATGTCTAAGGAGGACCCCTGATTCCAACCAGGCAGGGGTCAGAAGAAGAGCAAAGGCTGGGGTTGGCTCTGAAGGGTGATGCACAGTTATGGGGAATGTATGCTGGCGTGGGAGCACAGAGGGAAGGGCATTCTACACAAAGGGAACAGCATATGCCAAAGTCTGGAAGGAGTGCACATGACATGATTGTTGTTGTTAAGTGCCATTGAGTCTGAGCCAACTCACAGTGACCCTATATATAGGGTTTCTGAGGAGCCACTGGTGAGCTTGAACTGCAGACCTTTTGGTTCAAACTGACCTTGTGGTCCAGTGCTTATCCTACAGTGCCACACCAGGACTCCATGATTGGCGAAGAGCAAATGATTCAGGGGTTAATAATTAATGTTTGAGGGAGGAGGGAGGGTGACAAGCAGCTGCGTTTTGTTGGAGGACTTTCCCAGTCTAATGCAAATCCTTGGGCCTCTCTGCCCAGCTGTGGATCATGTGTGATGACCAGTGCTTCAAGGTGGCTGTGAATGCGCAGCACCAGCTTGAGTACCGTCACCGCCTGAAGAACCTGTTGGCCATCAACAGCCTAGAAGTGGCAGGAGACATCAAGTTGACCCACGTGCAAGTATAGTGAGACCCAGGGCCCTGCGGACGGACGCAGCTGGGGCACTTTGCTTCATCACTCACCTCCACCATGTCCGCCCCACACTAACTCAGCCTTTTCCACCCTGCTGGGAGACAACGGCCTTGTCTGGCCCTGCTTTGAGCTATAGCAGGGCTGGAGGTTGAAACTCAGCTGGAGGGAATGGTCTTCTTCAACTGGCAGAGCCTTAATCTTATTATCCAGGGAGAGGGTGCAGCTGGGGAGCCCTCTATGTAGGCTGAGGCCCCACCTCTAGTCTCTCAATAGGGAGGAAAGGCCGTGAGCCTTCCCAAGCTCCCCACACAGGCCTGAAACCTCATCTTGCTCTGGATCCCATCCAGCCCCTCCTCAAGCCCCAAGCCACCAGCTGTGCCCTCCAGGTGGCAGGTGACTCAGTCCCACCCCTGTTTTCTCTGCCCTTTAGCCTAATCCCTCACCCTGCACCAATACTTCACCCCTCCGGAAGTCTACACAAGTGACATTATCTCCACCCAACAGAAATAAACACGCTTGTTGTAGCCTAGAATGACTGTGGTTATTAAATGTGTTTGGAGTCACTTGGGGTTCTCTGGAATCGTGGGGGGCTGGTCCAAGAGGAGCAGAGAGAGGGAAGACAGGTTTGACTTTAAATAGGCAGGTCTGGACATCCACGCCTGATCCCTGCGTGTCCCTCACAAACCTAACCCAGGTACCAGGAGAGAGCAGGTCTGGGTCTGGGCTTCTCAGGCAGGAGTCTGAGGGGCAGGAAGCCTAGTCAATGAAGGGGGAGCCTGGAAACAAGGCTGACAGAGAGGAGAGTGTGCTGTTCCTCTGTGGTTAGGGAGAGTGACTCAGGATGTGGGGCTCTGCCAGCCACGGTGTGTCCATGAGATCCCCCACATCCTGCTAACTCCACTGAGAATCCAGTGCTGGGTCAGCTGCTTTGCATCCCTTTGGAGTTGGCCATCCCAGACCCACTGGATCAGAGCTGCATTGAACAAGATCCAACATGCTGCTGTGGCCCCGGACTCACCGGAAGCTGCCCTGCCCATCCAAAGGCTGGCATTCCCCTGACCCCCATCTCTCCCCACCCTAACTGGAGTTGCTGCTGCCAGAAGTGGGGGGAAAGATGGAGGGGAGGTGAGGGGAGAGGTGAGAAGGGAGCAGAGCAGAGTGGAACTTCCTTGATTCCTCCTCCACCCTATTGGTTCTTGGCAGAGTTTCTTCCTCAGTTCTTCTTCGGACAGGTGGCTCACTTCCCTCAAAAGCTGTCTCCTCTGGCTCCAAACCCAGAAAGAACCTGCATCTCTTGGGGTGGAAGACTGGGCCCATCCATTTTCAGCCACAGCCTCAGCACACAGACAGAGTTAGCGCTCACCTGTCTTATTGGCCAAACTCTGGTCAAACAGGCCCAATGCAAGATATCATCATGACTTTCTAACCACACTGTGTCAAGCCATTTTCTAAGGACATCATTCCCAGAATCCCAGTCCTCACCACACCCATGAGGAAGAAGCTCTTTGTGAGAGACACAGTTCAGACCCTCAGAGGCAAGTCTGGGTCCTGTCCTCCACTCCACCGGATTTTAGACCTAAAAACCTACTGCCCTCAGGTCGATTCTGAGTCGAAGAGTCCCTATCTGGTGGAGTAGAACTGTTCCTGAGGTCTTAAAGGTTGTGAATCTTTATAGAAACTGAAAACCTCATCTTCCTCCCAAGAAGCAATTGCTGGGTTTGAACCATCAACCTTGGGGTTAGCAACCCAGTGTTTAACTTAGCATGCCACCAAGACTCCATTCAGGTTTTCAGAGGAGGACAAAATTCCACCTGTGGCCTCCACACCTGTGGGGCCATTTCAGAAACACAGTCATGACCTGGTAGGTATGTCCTTTAGCGGGGCTTTTGGGCTGTGGTGCTCCCATTCTATACAACTAGGGCCTCTTTCTCTGCAAAATGTCAATGCACACATAGTGTGGTTAAAATAAAATGCATTTATTATAAATATTTCCATCAGGTAATCATACAGGAAAGGCCCAAGTGGCCATTGGGATCCGACAGATGTGCTTTTTCTTAAATACAGAGGAATAAATAAAACTGTACACAGAAGGATTAACTACAGAGTGGGTAGATAGCGCCTCCTGGTGGTCATTCGAAGAGGTGGCGTCAGAAAAAGATTCCGGTTTTCTCTCACCCACTTGCCAGATGTAGTCTCAAAGGGACGGCAGAGCCCCAATTCTCAATTATCCAGGGACAGGTGGGCTCAAGGGAAAGAGGAGGCTCCAACCAGTCCAGCCTGCTACTTGGTAACAGGCCAAGCAAAGAGCTTGGGAAGGAAGGAGGTGGGAAATGAGATCGAAGCGAGCGGGGATCATTTTCCTCCATCTTCTCAGGCTTTGTGACCATGGTTAATGGGAAGCTGAATCCATTATATGTCCCATGTCGCTGCCTCTAACTTGTGTGAGTCATCAGAGGCCTGGGATCTCTGGGCTGGCTCGCCACCCCGTCCTTTTTCACCTTGGTAGGGAAATGCCACACCAAAGATATCTTCATGATAGCGCTTCTGGCTCTTGAAGGCAAACAGACCAGGGGTCAGTTGAGTGTAGCCCCCCAGGCTATTTAGAATGCTTGGGGCTGCCCCACTCCCTGATCACACATTCAATCATGAGCCATTCATTCCCAATCGCCATGTTTAGATTATACTTGAGTCTGATTTAGATCCTTCCCATCCCTGTCAGTCTCCACGGCACTTAACCACAACAACCCCTGTTAGTTATGGGACAAAGATGAGGCTGTTGGCCTCCGTAGCCCTATACGGGGTCTCTATGAGTTGGAACGGACTCAACGGCACTTAATAACAACCACCACCTCTGTTAATGGAGCACTGTGGTACTGTAGGATAAGCACTAGACTGCTAATCACAAGGTTGGCAGTTCGAGGCCACCAGCTGCTGTTCCTCGGACTAAAGATGAGGCTTTCTGCTCCCGTAAAGATTTACAGCCTCAGAAACCCTATGCAGGGTCGCTGAGACAACTCTCATCTGGAGCACTGGGTGGCGCTGTGGGCTAGGCATTGAGGTCAGCATTTCAAACCCACCAGTTCGTGCCAACTGAGAAAGATGAGGCTGTCTGCTCCTGTAAAGATCGTATTGTTAAGTGCCATCGAGTTCCGACTCATAGTGAGCCGAGGAGAGGCTGGTGAATTTGAACCGCCAACCTTGCTGTTCAAATCGACATTGTGGTCCAGTGTATTAATCCATAGTACCACACCAGGCCCTACAGCTTCAGAAACCTTAAGGAGGAGTTCTACTCTGTCCTACAGAGTCTCTGTGCTTTACGATGGATGGCGTTTCTCATTTCCTGCTGCAGGAAATGAGAGCCCTGAGATCATGTGACCTGTCCCCAGGCTGTGCAATGTTACATGAACAGTGGTAACACCGTGAAGGCACGAAGTCTTGTAATAGAGAAACATGTTTACCTTTGTACATCTCAAACTTATTTGATTTTGGAAACTTTTGTTGGCAAACACTTATGAATCAGAAGTTCCTATGATCTCCTTGCTGTTCTCCAGATACCTCAAACTCACTCCCACCTCAGGGCCTTTGCACTTGCTGTTCCATTCACAACAACCTGGAACTCAGTTTCCTTCAATATTTACAGGACTCACTCACGCCTTACCATCTTTGGGTTTTTTGTTTTTTGCTCTCAAACATCACTTTCTTGGTAATGCCTTCCTTGACCACCCTATTTAAAATTGCATGCCCAACTCACTCTGTCCCCAAGTATGGTATATTTCCCCAAGTATAGTATATTTTATTTCTTATTTGTGAACTCAAGTAGATGTGAATGCCATCCAGGTAAGAATATTTGCTACTTTGCTCTATTCCCAGCACATAGTAGGTGCTCAGTAAACATCACTTGAATGAAGGAGTGTGCCTTAGGGAGGCACAGAAGTGACAAGCACAGGCTTTGGAGCCAGAGAGGCTCTCACACTTACGACTGTGGGACCCCTGAGAGCCCCCTTTCCTTTCTCTGCAGAGTCCTCTGAAATACCACGGGAAAATCATTGGCAATCATTGCCAATTACACCCCGTGTAAGACCTCGAGAATGACCATTGCTATCATCATTGTTTCCTTCCCTGCACCTTTGCCGCTGAGGATGAAGGTGAGGATAGGTGACAAAGATGAGGTTCATGATGGGCTATTCCAGGTCACAGCCCTGCCTTTCTGAAAGTTCAGGGGACTCTGCTTTCATCTTACAGAAGTAGAAGCATTTTTACCTGACTTTGCCAAGCTAGCTGGCAGCAAGACCAAGATGTATCAGGCTTCCTATAGGCCAAGCCACCTCTTGGATTCCTTTGGGGTCCACTGACTCCCTTGGTCCTGGCTCCCATGTCCCTGACTCCCTGTTCCCGTGTAACTGCCCCGTTCTAGAGCTGAGGAGATGGTGGTTCAGGGCCCTGGAGTCCTGCAAGACCTGCAGTTACCATGAAAGCCACCAGAGGGCGCGCCATGGTTGTGCGCCCAACTCTCCCATTCTCATTTCATCCACATACACGTTTTGCCTGTCAGGCTCCCCTGGTCCTGTACCACCAGCCCACACACCTGCTGCCATACCTTGAGCTGGAAGAAATAGTCCTCCACCTGCTCCTCGCTCAGGCTCAGCTTGGCCCCCAGTATGTGTTTCAGGGTGTGTGCCACGTCTCGGGCCATGCGCACATCCCCACAGATGTAGAGGTGGCCCTGTTCTTTATGGAGCACACGGAGCACCTCATCAGCCAGCAGCTGCCGCAGGATGTCTTGAACATAAACCTGAAACCCGAGAAGATGGCGGTCCGTCCCACAACAGCCAAGTCCCTGCTGCTAGGAAAGCAGCTGGGTCACAGGGAGCGGTGAGACGCACTCCCAGCCAGGACTTTGCTTTGGGCCAGGCCCAGAGTGAGGAGGTGCACTGAGACCCTAGACCCAGGAGGTGCTGGGATACAGGGATGCACACAGCACTGTTCTACTCTCAAAACATTGACACGGGCTTCCTGCCTTCTGTGAATGCTTCATACTTCAAAGAGGATCGATTCAGCTAGTTCCCCAACCCAGGCTCTGAGGCCGGTCTGCCTACTCCCCAGCCCCACAAAAGGGAGTCTCTGAGTGTACAGTGTCCACTGGGGTACAGAACCTGGGCTTCCCACTACACAGAAGGTCCCGGCTCAGTCGGGAACTGTCTGCTTGTCCCAACACACATCACAGGGCTCTGAGTCCAAGAGGAGGTCTGACAGGCCACGTTCAGGAGGGCTGACCTGAGAGTCTGTTCCAACTCTCCAGGCTCAAAGGGCAGCAGCCAGTCCACGGCCATGGTGGGAGCAGTGCTCTCCTTTCTTGCCCTGAGCATGACGCTGCCCTGGACCGCGTGTTCCCCCTGGCTGAGCTCTCTGTGTGACCTGTGTGAGTCCCCAATCTCTCTGGCCTTCTCTTCTTCTGGAAAAGTGGACACAAGAATCTTCGGAGCATCATTCTGATGTCTTTGTGATTACCCCATCTCAGAGCTGAGAAGGTGGAGGTTCAGGGAGGGGAGGGCGCTCCTGTGGGGTCAGGGCACAGCTAAAGCTCCACCCTCTGCGCTGACTGCTGCTGCATTTACCTTGGGCTGGTCAGGCAGGCGAGAATAGGCGGTATACACCTCATGGAGCACCCCCTTCCCGGCCATCTCCAGCATTTCCTCCCGATAGAGGTGGTCCTTGTTGGGATGGCGACACCCGAACACGAGGGTCATGCGGCCTCCCTGGAGTCCTGAAAGACACAGATGGCTGCAGTTACCACAATGGCCACCAGAGGGCGGGCCATGGCGCCCAACTCTCTCATCTCATCCACACATTGCCCGCACATGCAAACATCACACAGTGAGGATGGTGCCTGACCGGCGGCAGTGCTCCATTCTGTTGCACATTGGGTCACTATGAGTTTGAACTGACTCTATGGCACCTAACAACGGCAACATCTAGTAGTAGGAGTCTCCTGCGTGGTGCAAGAGGTTTGTGGTTCAAACCCAGCCAGAGGCCTGATAATCTGCTTCCAAAAGAACAAATCCTTGAAAACTCTATAAAGTGAAGTGAAGTTCTGTACACTTGGGGTTGCCACGATTCAAAGTCAGATGGATGGCAACAGCTTTATCTAGTTTTCTAGCAAGTATTATCCCCATTTCACAGAGGAGAAGACTAAGGCCCAAAGCTTTCAGATGGCTCATCCATAGTCACAGAGATAAGATTCCAGCTCCATCTATGAGAATTCAAAATCTGGGACTTTCCCTACCACCCCCACAGCCCAGAGAAGGGGTCCTGGCTGGCAGTAATGTGGGAGGCAGAGGGACACAGGGGCCTGCATGGGCTGAGTTAACTTGGGAAGTCTTCATGTGGAACAGAGGCCAGGGGACGTTTGTGGGGTGGTGGCACAACTTGTACCCCTTCTCCATCCATCCGGGAGTCTTGAGAGCTGTACCTTTGTGTTCCATGTCATAGAGCCGCTGCCGCCAGAAACTGCGGAAGGGGGCAATGCCCGTCCCAGGCCCGACGAGGATGCAAGGCCGGGAGGGGTCCTCGGGGAGCTGGAAGCTGCTGGCACTGAAGGGGAAGGAGGAAGAGAGACCTAGTTCTCAGATACTGTGGGGAACTGGGTGCATGGTGTGGGGATGCCAGTGTTCAGGGGGTGAAGAGGACAGTGAGCTCAATGTTTCTTTCTAGGGTCCTGAAAGCGACTTCATTTGACCTGCTGAGCACGCCTTCACTTCACCTGGGGTCTTCTGAAATAGGGTTGATCCACCTTGCTCTCAGTCCCTCAACCCTTGCCTCCACCACTAATCCTGCAAGAGACTCAGCCACGCTCTGCAGCCCAGGAACAGATGGGAGACAAGTGTGACCCTAGTGCATTCTGAAGGGCCCCCCAAACCCAGACCCCTCCAGTTCAACCACAATACTCTTGCGGCCAGGGGTCCCACAAGGAACAGAGTAGGGGTGGAGCTCACCTGCGCACAAAACAAGGCACTGGATCTTGGGGCTTCAGGCTGCTGAGCCAAGTGCTGCAGACACCGTGGTGTAGGGGACCCTCGCCATCTGCAAGGACAGACACAGACGTGTCAGCCCCTCCAACATTGACTGGCCTCCAACTGCCCACTCAGGCCCTTGGAGGGCTTCATGGGGGAGGCGGTACAGTGCCTTCCTTCTGGATCTGCGATCTGCCCTCTCTACCCTCAGGACTCCTGAGAGCTGTACGGGACTTAAGGTCTCTGCAAATCCCTCTTGCTAACACAGAAACTTGTCCAAGGCCACTCAGGCTACGGCAGAATCAGTACGAGAGTTCAGGTGTGCTGACTCCCACGCCAATGTTTCTTCCAAAAGAATCCCTCAGAGATCCTCCCAGCCCCTGACTCAGCCCTGCTGCAGCAGATGGCAGCGACTCCTCAGGGTTGACCCCAGTCTCAGATGCTGAGTGTCCTCACCAGTCCTGTGGTAGAAGCCCTGGGTGATAGATGAATGGATGATCCTCTGCTCTGACAGCTAATTTCCCCCCCAGAAGCCCCTCGTGGGCTTGTGGAGACCACAACTTTCTCTGGGTTACATCCTCTCCCAATGGTCCAGGACTTTAAGGAGACCCCTGGCATCTTGAGAAGTTCCTTTGGGCCCTCACAGAACATGCCTGTCTCTCTGATCTTAGTCTGAGGATTGCGACTTACCAGTGTGAGTACTCCCAGCCCAGCAAATAAACAGGGTCTTTCCAGTTTTTTAGAAACTGTATTTATGTTTCCCAGAGCACAAAGGGCTACTGAGGGATGGGACAGTCCCCAGCTTTGCCAACCCAGACAGTGTTCCATTACAGTGGACAGGCCAAGGGCACAGTTCACCCAGCTGATGAATGGAACAAGAGTCTGGACTTAACGGCCCCACCCAGTCTATGACAGTCCCCACCCCCATTTCCTGGCCGTATAGCCCCCCTGTGCTTTCCTTCTTAGCACCTACATACTGGCAAATGTCTAATGATGTCTAGGAGTTTCTCTTCAATGGCCCCTTCAGACTGGAAGTTCCCTGAGGGCAGGGCTGTGTCTGCTGTCTTTCCACCCCACAGTGCCAAGCAGAGACTGATGTGAAATAAACAAATGGATGAACACCCGCTACAGAACCACATCCCGCATGCAGGCTGGACTCTCGGGAAGACTGGGAATCACCAGGCTCCTGCTATAAATATCAAGTGCTTTCCACATCTGATCTCATTAACTTCCTCCAACAGCAAAGTAGAGTGGGAGGGAGCGTTAAGAACTTGGACATGGAGGTCAGACTTCTAGAGTTATAACCTCTGCTCTCTACTTATTAAAACGTGATCTTAAACATGTGTCTCAGTTTCCTCCCCTGTGAAATGCACACAGTACCCATCTCATTGGGTTGCTGATCATAGCTGCAAAGATCTTATTAGCTCACCGCCTGGTTCACAGTCATCTCTCCCGTTTAACTCATGAGGCAACTGAAGCTCGTGGATGCAGACTAGCTGCCCAGGAAGTAGCGGAGTTGTGATATGAACCTCAGAGGGACTGTTGCTAAGCCACTGGCCCCACACTTACCTCGGGTGCGGTATGTGACCATGGCCACAGTGAGGTGGATCTCCATGGGGGTGAGGTCCCGGGAGGAGCTGATGGAGTAGTACCGGGGTTTCAGAGTAGGGAGCTGAGAGAGTAGGAAGCCAGCAGACACCTGCAGGGACGGGAACTCCTCAAGAACCTCCAGGAACGTAGGGCTGTTGGTGAACTTCCACTTGTTGTAATTTGAGCGCTGAAAGTCAAGGGCAGTGTGAGGGACCTAAGGTGCCTGCCCCATGCTGGATGGTCCCACGAGGGGGCCATCCAGTATTCTTGCATTTTTTCACTCACTCAAGAAATACTGCCAGACGCTGTCCAGGGTACTGATAAAAGCCAGAACAAGGGTCACTTATTGGATGTATCCTCAAGCACATCCGTCCCAAGAGTAGCATTTACCTAAGTAGTGTGCTTCGAACTTCACTGTCAGTAACTAGTGTGGGCAAAGGCTAAATTTCTAGAATCATCTATTATGGTAAGGACTGTAGAATTATACAGATCTCAATTCAAATCTTGGCTGGGCGTCCTCACTAACCATGGAAACTTGTTCCAGGTAATTAATCTCTGTGAAAAGAGGACAGTATTGCCTATTCTCTTCTGTTGTGAGAATTAACTGAGAAAATGTCTGTTAAGTTAGCACAGTGCAGCCATAGAATAACGGCTGTGGTGGTGGTTGGGACCAAGCTAATTAGCAATAATGATGACGGTGACAGTGATGAAGTCCAGCACCTTCTGAAAAGACTTGGAACCAGAGAGCTGTTGTTGTGGTGGTGAAGTGCTGTCAAGTCAATTCCAGCCCATAGTGACCCTGTATAGGGTTTCCAAGGAGCGGCTGGTGAGCTTGAACCACCCACCTTGCAGTTCAAACGACTTTGCAGTCTGATGCATTAGCCCACAGCACCACACCAGAGTTAATTCATCATCTCATTAACTTATGAATTCAACCATCCTTCTGGCATTACATTCCTTTATCCTCTGTCCTCCAACACTTTCTACATTCCAGGCCTAGTCTCAGGTACTGGGGATACAAAGACAGACAGACAAGGCATAGTGGCTACCCTTTCCGAGCTAGTTTCTGAGGAATTGCACCATGGTTGCATCTTGCAGACACACAAAACAAATCAGTTCGTACCACACATCCTAGAGATGTTATGGGAGATGTTGCTTGGCATCCTACCAGCCTTGGATAAGTCTCACTTTAGGGGTATGTGTTGGAGCCTCCTGGGAGGTTAAAGACCAGCTTTAGGCTTTGGGTTCTCCTAGTTTGGACCATATCCTCTCCCCGCCAACTAATCCCATACCTTACCTGGCACAGGGCCTCCAGCCTCTGTCTCTCGGTTTCTTCTGTGGCCAACTGGGTTAGCTTCCGGAGTAGCAGCTGGGTTGGAGGTGTGGTGATGTCCAGGAAGTAGGTGAGGGCCTGGCTGAGTGAGCAGGGGGGCAACCTCTTGTCCCTGATCCAGTAGCTGCCTGGAAAGAGAATAAAGGCATCAACCTGGACAAAAGACCTCATTTGTACTTCTCAGAGGTGGTAAGATCTGTGAGGCCATATATACTCAATTCTCCAGATTCAGGGGCGAGAAGATGCTACAGTTCTGACTCAAGCTACAAAAAAGGTGGTTCCTGGCAACCAAGGTCAGTTGGGCTACAGTCCTCCAGTGAGCACCCCAGCTAACACGATCCTGATGAACTAGTTATGGTCCAGAGTCCAGTCCCTCTCTGGTCTAGACCAGAACTTCAGTACAGATGAACTATATACAGACTCGCAATGACTAAACATGCCAAAGTCTGATGTACATCCCAGAGGCCCATGACTAATCCAGTCATCCTCCAGTGTGCTATACTGAGAGGTTCTAACTGAGCATAAACTCAGTCCAACGTGGGATGAGAAGTCTCAGGGAGTCCCAAAAGGAACCATACATGGTTGTCAAAGCATGGATTCAGGAGTTTCAAAATCTGGCTCTCCCGTTGGGTTACTGAACCGTCTGAACCATGGGATCCTTCTTTGTGAAATGAATCTGACAGCAAAACCTATCTCATTGGATCTGCATGAGTATGGAATGAAAGAATGCATTTCAAGCACTTGTATAGTGCCTGATACACAGTAGGTGCTGAATAAATGTCAGATAAAATATGACATTTATTATTATTGCTATTGTATCTAGATCTGTGGTTGATGAACCATGACCATCTCCCTACAGCCACAAGGACATTCCTGACCCCTTATCCCCAAGCATTAGGCTCTGGATGGGTGGGAGGCATGCTAGACATTACTTCTCTGTCCCCCACTTCCCTATGTTGACCACCCTACTGAGGGTGATATATATTTTGGTGGTGTCATTAACTCTGAGGAAACTAAGGTCAGGGAGCTAATCCTATGGGCTGGAGGCCCATGGTGTGCTGATGTCATTAGTTTACAACCCCTAGCACCTGTCACCCCCATGCGGTGTCTTCCACATGGAGGCTAATGCTCCTGGATGGCCACACTCTTTCCTGATCACCTGTCCCTGTCCATCACCCAGGGAGGGTGGGGGTAAACGAGACCCTGGGTGGTACCAGTAACAGTTGCCTTTGAATTGATTCCAATGCTTGGTGAACTGTGTGCATCAGAGTAGAACTGTGGTTGGGTCTCATGCAAATGTCTGATTCTTTCAGATGTAGGTCACCAGGTCTTTCTTTGGACTCATTTCTGGGTGGACTCAAACCTCCAACCTTTCAGTTAGCAGGTGAGTTCAGAAACTGCACAAGTTAGGGACTCTAAAGAGCTCTGGTAGCATAGTGGTTACGAATCGGGCTGCGAACCGCAAGGTTGGCAGTTCGAAACCACCTGCCATTCCGTGGGAGAAAGATGAGACTTTCTGCTCCCATGAAGATTTACAGTCTTGGAAACCCTAAACAGGGTCGGAACCGACTCCACAGCACATAACAACAACAACAACAAATGTTAATTGGCTCACTCACTTGTGCCAAAAGTTGTGAAGGTTCACTTGCACCACTTGATCTTAACCCCACAAGGCTTTATCCTCTCTAGTTTACAAACAATGGACTTTAAGCCTAGAGAGGTGAAGTCACAAACCCAAGACCTGATAGCTAGTAAGTGATGCAGGACCACTGCCTTTAAAGCTCACCATTGTACTTGGAGGTCACACTGTAGGACGAACACTGGACCGCAAGGTCAGTTTGAACGGCAAGGCCAGTGGTTCAAACTCACCAGCTGCTCCTTGGAAACCCTGTATAGGATCCTTATGAGTCAGAATCGACTGGACGGCACTTAACATCATTAACTAGCTGCATGCCTGTGTGGATTACTAAGGCTAAAGAGATCACACATAGAAAATGCTGGCCTATAGGGTCTACCTAACAAATAAATATAACAAAGAATAATTTTTAAGTATTATCTTACTATTTATCTGTCTCCTGTTCTTAGCAGTGAGCCCTCTTGAGGGCAGACCTAAACTCAGCTTCTTAATTATTTTTTTACCCAAGGCCTGCCTAATATATAGATGTGACTTGCCAAGGTTTCTGATTGAAAATTAATGCACCAGTCAATACAAACTTGGCCAAGAGAATGAAAGAATAAAGGGGAAAAGATGCCCAAGCTCCTGGTGTTGCACAGATTGATGGTTCTGAATACGCAGCCCTTTCCCGCTGGTTGGTACTGGGAGGGGACTGTTTGCAGGCTGGCCTTGCCCAGCAGGAAGGACAGGGTGGCTGTCCAGAGCATAGGTCCAGCCTCAGCCCTCAGCGGGTGGGCTGCGTGGAGAGAGGTGGGGTGCTGAGGGCTGCTGCAGCACCTCAGAGGAACCCCCCCTTACAGATGGCTCACCGTTCTCACTGAGGACCTCTAGGCACACGGATTGGTGGGGAGCTGGTCCATCCACCAGGCGCTCCAAGATTCCTTGAACCAGGGCCGGCTGGTTACCTGGGCATACCCCGAGGTGCTCTCCAGGCAGGTAGCTGGGGGCTTGGCTGCCCTCACAGGAGAGCTCCACCAGGAGGGTGACGCGGCTGGGGACAAAGAAGCATCCACGTCAGGATTTCCTCTACAGCTCCCTGAGGGTGGGTCAGTTTCCCCAGGAAACACATCATCTGTCATTGCCCTGCCTTTTCCATGAACGTGGAGGATGGGTCCTATGTCTTCCCCTCGGGTGAAGAGTGAGCCACCCTGCCCCCAGCAGCCCTCCCGAGGCCCAAGGACTTGGTCACGGACTCTCCTAGGGAAAAGTGGGCCTGGGAGGAAGCTTTTGCTGGTCCCAGCACCAACACTGCTCTTAATAGAACCGAGACAAGTTCTTCTAAAGAATGAGGGAGGAGGATGGCATAGCAAACCCACAGATAAGCCTCCACACTCAATCACCTGATGGGAACCGGTCTTTCTCCCCACCTAGCTCTTTATTATTATTTTAATCTATGGTGGTTTGGGCAAAAGTCTACAGAGCACTTTAGCTTCCCATTCAATAATTTCTAGACATGTTGTTTAAGACATTAGTTATAACCCCTCTTCCCAGGTCCTCTCTGGGTCGCTCGTTTATATTGGTCCATCTTCCCAGCCCCTTCCTGCCCTCTAAGCTTGGTTTTGGGGCTAATGCTGATTTCAGTCTTGTGTTGTTAATTGTTGAGGACCACACTCTTCATTGTTGTTGCTCACTTTATAGGCCTACCTGTTTTTTGGCTGTAAGGCAATCCCCATGGGGGTGGGTTTAAGTTTGACGGGTGTCTAAGGGCCACAATCTCAGGGGTTCTGCTGAACTTTTCAATGCAAGTTCTTAAGAAAGAGCCAAATGGTTTGCATTTCTCGTGCCTTCCCTATTTTGGTGAAAAGGTTAAATTAAGAAGGGTTAAAGGAGCTCTGGTAGCATAGTGGTTACGAATCGGGCTGCGAACCTTAAGGTCAGCGGTTCGAAACTACCAGCCGCTCCGCGGGAGAAAGATGAGGCTTTCTACTCCCGTAAGGATTTACACCCTCGGAAACCCTGTACAGGGTCGCTATGGGTCGGAACCGACTCGACGGCACTTAACAACAACAACAACATCAGATACCTAGTTTCCAAGCTGGAAAGCTAGCTCATGGTCCGTAACTGTGTCACTGCCAGTCCCTGGGGTCACCAGGAGAGCTGGCCCGCTGACCGCACCACTGGTAATGCCAGAAGACACTTTTCTTCTGGCCCTTCAAAGATCCATCTGATCTGGTCTCAGTAAAATGCAGCCCGTGGGTGATCATGTGAGGAGCCCTGTGCCCTACCTTACCTGGATGCCAGACTCTGTAGGTTCTTCAGGGATTTGAGCTTCATGGTGAAAATGTTCTTGGTGTGCATGCTGCCCAGGGCTGCGGAGAGAAGAGAGGGAGAGGCTGAGTGGGTTGTATATGTTGGTGGGGAGCCAACACGTGTCTGACTCAGTTCTACTGGAACACTCCCCTTCCTGTGGCCCGCTTTCTTTCCTCTCCTAGTTCCCACTGTGTTTCTGAATCACACACAAAGACCCTTTGACCTGGCCAAGGATGGCCGTGCCACTGCTAAGAACCAGTTGACATCGAGTCCACTCCAGCTCTTGGCAACCCCACGTATGTGAGAGGAGACTGTGCTCCATAGGGCGTTCATTGGCTGACTGTTTGGAAGTGGATCCCCAGTCCTCTCTTTCAAGGTACATCTGGGTGGACTTGAATTGCAGCAGAATACATTCATCATTTGCAGCAGGAATTCCAAAGAACTTAGTCAAGACATGAGGCGTGCTATTGCTAGGTGTTGACAGATGGCATTTAGATCCAGAGCGTATCTGAAACTGGGGATAGTCTAAACATGCAGAGTACAAGACTACTGTTCTCGTGGTGTGGTATCGCAGGATACGCACTCGATCACAGGCTCGGTTTGAACTGCAAGGTCGGCAGTTCAAGCTCACCAGCCACTCCTCTGAAACCCTGTACAGGGTCGCTATGGATCAGAACTGACTCGATGGCACTTAGCAACAAGAACAGCCTCATGGTAAGGAGCACTGGTGGCACAATGGTTAGGCGCTTGGCTACGAACGACAAGATCAGCAGTTCAAACCCATGCTAGCTGCTCCATGAGAGAAAGGTGTGGTAGACTGTTCCTGTCAACATTACAGCCTTGGAAATCCCATGGTCCTATAGGATGGTTTGGGCTGGTTTTTGGTTCTCATGGTAGGGTCCCTTGGGTGGTTCTCATGGTCCAAGAAATGAGGTACCACAAAGTCACAGGCCCTCCTAGGGGCAGAGAAAGGAAGCCTAAAGCTGCCTCTGCGAAACCTTCTCTCAATACTTTAGAGATGGGAGACCGGGCCAGGTCCCATCATGGTCACATACTAGCTGTGCAGCAAGGGAAACTTGCTTCCCCCACACCTTCCTTGCAGGGTGAGTGTGTGGGCTCACTTAGAGTTTGTGGGCAAAGAGCCCAGCACAGTGCCTGGCACACAGTGGGCCCTCAGTCAACACAGGCTCCTTTCTTCTTCCAGCCACCTTCCCTCAAGAAGTCCTCCTGAAACAGCCTCTCCCCAAGATAAAGCAAGCCCTTGAGTCTTATACCCAACAGGCTCTTCTTGGCAAGAGAGCTGGTCATCCCCAGGCCGGCTGCCACAGGTTCTTGGCCACAGGTTCAGAAAACCCAGAGCAGAAGAAAAGGTCTCACGGGCCAGAGAAGCAGGTACCTTTGTTGAGGTCAAAAGGCTCGGAGTCCTGCACGAGCCTGTACTGGTGTGGGTCCCAGGTCTCATTGGAGGTGTACAGCTTGGGGATCTGAATGTGGTGTTTGCCTCGGACATCAAATGCCTCACATGCTGCCTGGGAGAAGATGGAACAGACCTGTGTTAACAGTCATCAGCAGCAGCGGCCTTGTCGTTCCTTACAGTTATCATCAAATGCATTCAGACTCCTGTTGCCTCTGTGTGTGTCAGAAGAGGGGCTTCAATGGCTCAACTTTCAGATTACTTTCTTCCAAGGCATCAATGGGTGTACTTAAACAGCCAAGTTCATTAACAGTGTGCGCCATTCAGGGACCATGAACCCACTTACCCTATTGGCTTATTGTGAGGACTCAAAGAGTTATCTTATTCTAGAAGCGCTTAGCCTTGGACTTGGCACATAGTAGCTCTTCCTATTGTATGACAAGGGACAGTAGTTTATTTTATCCTTGTAACCACCGTAAGGTGGGCTTCATGACTATCATTTATTAGACGTGGAGACATGTGGAGAAGACCTGTCTGACTTGTGACCATCACCTTGTGGGATAGGTTCTCTAAGTTAGCAGGGTCGAGACTCAGGCAATAAAGGTTTAATGAGATGCTGAGACAGGTCCAAAGAATTTAGCTGTGTGGTCCCTGTTCTCAAGTTCTCTGTGGCTAGGAGACTGGAATGAAACAAGGTTGTCAAGAGGTGATACAGGTAAAGCTCCCCAAGGCCAAGGATTCTGTCTCAGCCACCTTCTCCCACCCATGGCGTGCATGCGTACAGAGAGAATTTTCAGAGAGGGGGCAGCTAGGAGGAGCAGTATAGACCTGTGCCCTCAGACCTGTATCCCTGGCCCATACCACCTGGGGCCATGTCTACAAGACCATCAGAGATCATGCCACCCAGAATGCCAGGTACAGATGTCCTGGGCACAAATTCACCCTGGCATCCCCATCTGGCTGAGGGGTAGCTCTGGCCATGAACTGACCTTGAATGTTTGCACGGCCCAGCTGCGGAAGGCTTCCTCTTGCCCACTGAGCTCATCTCCTTCCCCCGTCGGGGTGAGCTGAGAAGCCCCCAAGTTGGAGAACTTCTGGTCAATGTCATGTGCAAAGGCACAGAACTGAGGATATGTGCTGGAGCCAAGGCCAAACACAGCGTACCTGCCAGGAGGACACACAGATGCTGGTGAGCCACCCAGCCAGCACCTGGCACTACAGCCATCGGGCCAGCCCAGTCAACCCACCCCAGCTGGCTTGGGCCCCTCATCACCAACTCCCATGAGCAGCCTGCTGACCCGTCCAAGTGGCTTGGTTTCTGTGACTTGACTCTTGATACACTCAAGGACAAACCTCAGAGCCAGAAGACCCCTTGCATACATGTGCACCTAGTTTTATGGCCTATACTCAAAACCCTGGTCCCACCCAGCCAGCCCCCCACAGGCCAGGGCTTGGACTTACGGAGGGGGATTAGAAAAACCTTACCTGAATTTGTTAGTGAGCTTTTTCAGCATGAAGAGCGATTTCTTCAGTTTCTAGAAAAGGAGAGAGCACCAGAAGGATCAGGCCACGGTTCATAAAAGCATGGCTTGTTCTTCCCTTCTGGTGGTTCATTTCTAAAGTGGCTCCTGACCCACAGATGGAAGTTGGTTTCTGTGTGGCATCTCTGGGCCAGATCTTGAGTTCAAGTTCTGAGCCTGTCTTCCACTCCAGCTGCGCCTAAGAGTTCAAGCACGCCACAACCGTTGGTGGCAGATCCAAATAGCCCAGTTCCCAGACCACCCAGTCCTGGGGGTAGAGGGGGCTGCCTGGTAGTGGGATACCTCCTGAGGGTCTCCTAAGTGTGTGGGCCTTTCATTGGAACCTGGTAAGGTTGACAACCGCTGGTCCCATAGTCTCTAAAATAACTCTTGATTTTCTAGGAACTCAGGTTAATTTGAGGTGGTACATGATCCAGCAGGAAAAACATTAAATTGCATGATGAGAAAGTTTGCTCTTTTTAAAATAATTTTGTTATTACCTTAAAAATAATTTATTGGGGCAAAATACATATAACATAAAATGAACTCATTTTTAAGTGAACATTTCAAGACGAGTTAGTATATTTACAATGTTGTGTGACTACCTCTATCTGTTGATATTAAGTATCGTTGTATCATTTCCAACTCGGTGACCCTGTATAGGGTTTCCAAGGAGCAGCTGGTGAGCTTGAACCACCGACCTCTTGGTTCAAACTGACTTTTCAGTCCAGCTCAATAACCCGCAACGCCACTCCAGGACTCCAATGGACTACCTCTATCTAGTTTCACAATATTTCCATGACTCATTAATTAAGCAGTTTCTCCCCAACCTTCTTCCTAGCCCCTGTGTTCTGTCTTATGGATGTATCTCTTCTGGATATTTCCTATTAATAGAATGGTAAATATGTGAGCCACTCTTTATGTCTGGTTTTTTTCACTTATGTATGTGCCATTAGTTCATTCCTGTTTCTGGCTGAATAATATTCCATTGTATGGACATACCACATTTTGTTTATCCACTCATCCATTGATGGGCATTTGATTTGTTACCCTCTTTTGTCTATTGTGAGTAATGCTGTTTGAGTCCTTGCTTTCAAGTCTACTGTTGTTGTTGTTGTTGTTAAGTGCCGTCGAGTCGATTCCGACCCATAGCGACCCCATATAGGGTTTCCAAGGAGCAGCTGGTGAGCTTGAACTACCAACCTTGCAGTTCAAATTGACTTTGCAGTCTGACACATTAGCCCACAGCGCCACACCAGGACTCCAGTGGGATTACTAGTATATGGTAATTCTATGTTTAGCTTTAGACGGACTTGCCAATCTGTTTTCCACTGTTGTTGTTAAGTGCCTTCGAGTCAGTTCCAACCCATAGTGACCCTGTATATGGTTTCCAAGGAGCGACTGGTGAGTTTGAACCACCAACCTTGCAGTTCAAATTGACTTTGCAGTCCAGCGCACTAACCCACAGCACCACACCAGTACTCCACCATTTGACATCCCCACCAGTGGAGTGCCAGCCTTCCAATTTCTCCACATCATCATAGTTACTCCCTTTAAAATTTTTC